TTTTTTTTTTTTGGTCTAGTACTGGGGCTTGAACTGAGGGCCTTGGTACTGTTCCGTAGCCCTTTCACTCAAGACTGGAATAGTGTCACTTGATCCACACCTCCACTTTGGGCTTTTTGGTAGAAATAAGAGTCTCCTGGATTTTCCTGCCCAGGCTGGCTTCAAACTACGATCCTCATATCTCAGCCTCCTGAGTAGCTAGGATTACAGGTGTGAGCCACCAGCACCAGGTGTGAGCCACCAGTGCCCAGCATGAGTACATTTCTTTTTAGATAATATCACCCTTTCCCTTGCTCTCTCCCAGTTCTTCTCTCCTGTCCCCACCTCAAATTGAATAGTTCATTTTCAACATAGTATCAGCTACTGCTACATTTGTTCACCCATTGTCCTTCCATTTCCATTTCCTCTGTTATTCTCCCAAAGACAGATAAATAAACAAGACCGAAAGAAAACAACAACAACAAAGAAAAACTTCTACTTCCATTTCCTGGAGTTCACTTAATAAATAATTTATATGATTAGATACACATAGGCATTGTGCCTTTGTATTCCTGTTTTGTTTTTTTTTTCTTCTTCTTCTTTTTGTTGGTCATGGGGCCTGCACTCTGGGCCTGGGCGCTGTCCCTCAGCTCTTCAGCTCAAGGCTAGTGCTCTACCACTTGAGCCACAGTGCCACTTACAGCTTTTTCTGCTTATGTGGTGCTGAGGAATCAAACCAAGGGCCTGATGCTTGCAAGGCAAGCACTTTACCGCTGAGCCACCTTCCCAGCCCTGTGTTCCTGTCTTAAGAGTGTCCTTCTTTGGTCTCACTGTATGTGAATGCCTAGAGTCCTGTATAATTTATCATGTCCTGGTGTTTTAGATCTCATTTCTGCATAGGAGAGAAAACATGAACTGTTTGTCTCTCTGAGCTTGACTTAACGTGATTTGTATTAGGTCCATCCATTTCCCTGTAAATGACAGAGTATTATTCTTTCTAATGGCTGTGTAAAATTCCACTGTGTACCACATTTTTTGGATCCACTCATCTATTGTAGGACATCTGGGTTGTTTCCATACTTGGCTGTTGTGAATAGTGCCGCAATGAACATGATTGTACAAGTGTCTTTATATCCTTGCTTGTGATGTTCTGGGTAAATGCCCAGGAGTGGTATGGCTTTGTTGTTGTAGAAAATACATTTTGGGGGCTAGGAATGTGGTTTATTGATAGAGTGCTTGCCTAGCATGCAGGAAGCCGTGGGTTCAATTCCTCAATACCACATAAACAGAAAAAACCTGGGAGTGGTGCTGTGGCTCAAGTGGTAGAGTGCTAGTCTTGAGCAAAAAGAAGCTCAGGGACATTGCCCAAGACCTGAGTTCAAGCTCCAGGACTGGCAAAAGAAAAAAAAGAAAGAGAGAGAGAGAGAGAGAGAGGAAGAAAGAAAGACAGAAAGAAAGAAAAGGAAGGAAAAAAAGAAACTACATTTTGGTTTGGGGTTTTTTTGGTTGTTTTTCAGTAAGTGTGTGTGTGTGTGTGTGTGTGTGTGTGTGTGTGTGTTGCTACTGGGGCTTGAACTCAGGGTTTTGCACTCTCTTTTGCTCTCAGTTGGTACTGTACCACTTGAGATATGTCTCCAGTACCAGCTTTTTTGCTGACTAATTGGAGTTAAGGGTTTTCTGGATTTAATTGTCTGGGCTGGCTTTGAGCCATGAGATCCTCAGATCTCAGCATCCTAAGTATTAGCTTCTTTTAGAATTTGCCATGTACCCATATAAATGTGTGTATGTTTGTATATATATATGTTGTAGGTATGGAGGGAGGGTATTGGAACAGGTCCAGCTTTATTAGATTAACAATAGGCATTTGTTCTGGTTTATACCTAAAAAGGAATAGCAAACACTACAAGACTGTACTGTGCAGGGCTGGAAAGTTTTGGCTCAGTGGTAGAGTGCTTGCCTTGCATGCATGAGGCCCTGGGTTCAATTCCTCAGCACCACATAAACAGAAAGAAGGAAGCAGCTCAGAGACAGTGGCCAGGTCCTGAGTTCAAGCCCCAGAACTGGCAAAAAAAAAAAAAAAATGTACTGTGCAGTATGGTATTTATTCCTGTAGCTTTTGTGATATTTCATGCATGCTAGTAGGAAGGAAGTCTTGCAGAAATAAGATCTTTCTTAATTTTTTTTGGCTCTGGCTTTCCCACACAGAATGTATACTTTATCTTCAACCAGCTCTCAGCTTGCCATAGAAGTTTGGGAACTGCCATCTTGAATGTTTCAAATTCCTGTTTTATTAAGTAGACATGGTTTTCTCCACTATGTGTTATATGCACCCTCACTTTTGGAAGATTTATTTTTAAATTGACATTTGAAAATTTTATTCTTCTAAAGGATATCAGAGGAGGTTGTGTCAGAGCTTCAATTCTTTAGTATCTCCTTTATAATGAAGAAGAGGGGAAAAAAATCCTACTCTTTGAAGCTCAGCTTCCATCTGGGATTTCTTACAGAAATGGAAGGTAGAAAGGAGGAGAAGAGTATGTGTGTGTTTTCAGAGAGTAATAGTTTGTGCTATTGCTTTGATGTGTTTTAATCATGATAATTTAATTTGTATTCTAACTGTGATGAAAGAGATCATGAGTTTTGTTAGTTTGTTTTGCCAGTCCTGGGGCTTGAACTCAGGACCTAGGCAGTGTCCCTGAGCTTCTTTTGCTCAAGACTAGCACTCTACCACTTGAGCCACAGAGCCTCTTCCAGCCTTTCTTGTCTATGTGGTATGAGGAATCCAACCCAGGGCTTCATGCATGCTAGGCAAGTACTCTACCACTAAGCCACATTCCCAACCTAGAGACCATGAGTTTTGTAGTTTTAGGAATGAGTAGAGTCCCATGGTGTTTGGAAATTGAGGAACAGGGGCAAGGAATGTGGCTTAGTGGTAGAGTGCTTGCCTAGCATGCATGAAGCCCTGGGTTCAATTCCTCAGTACCACATAAACACAGAAAGCTGGAAATGGTGCTATGGTTCACATGGTAGAGTGCTAGCCTTGAGCACAAAGAGGCTCAGGGACAGTGCCCAGGTCCTGAGTGCAAGCCCCAGCACTGGCAAAAAAAAAGAAAAGAAATTGAGGAACCATATATGTATGATAAATTGTGGGAAGAATTGTTTCATGTGAGCTGCAAGGAATGAGCATGTGGAAGGTGCAGAAAAAATTTAATTCACATGATATCTTTGAAGTCCTATAAAATATCACAAAAGCTACAGGAATAAATACCATACTGCACAGTACATTTTTTTTTTTTTTTTTGCCAGTTCTGGGGCTTGAACTCAGGACCTGGCCACTGTCTCTGAGCTGCTTCCTTCTTTCTGTTTATGTGGTGCTGAGGAATTGAACCCAGGGCCTCATGCATGCAAGGCAAGCACTCTACCACTGAGCCAAAACTTTCCAGCCCTGCACAGTACAGTCTTGTACTGCATTACTGTTACTATGTGCTATCCATATACTATTGTGGTTACAAATATAGGTGTTTTTGTTTGTTTTTTGTCAGTCATGGAGCTTGAACTCTGAGCCTGTGTGCTGGCCCTGAGCCCTTCAGCTCAAGGCAAGTCCTCTACCACTTGAGCCACAGCACCACTTGCGGTTTTTCTGGTGGTCAATTGGAGATAAGTGTTTTACAGACTTTCCTGCCAGGGCTGGATTTGAAGGGCAATCCTCAGATCTCAGCCTCCTGAGTAGCTAGGGTTACAGGCATGAGCCACCGGCTACAAATACAGTTTTTAAAATAACTTAATGTGGGGCTGGGGTGTGGCTCAAATGGGTACAATACCTGGCTAGCAAATTCAGGGCTCCTTTTCATGAAACCCTAGTACTGCCGAAACCTAAAAAGTCACTGATGGGGAAGGTGCTGTGAGAATAATCTTTCCCCACACTAATGAGGCCCTTTCACTGTCCTGTAAGCTCCTTGAACACAAGAACAATATCAGGTTCTTTGTGTTTTTTTCTACCAAGATGACCTTGACTAAATGGATGAAAAGACATTGTTTCATTTAGTCCATTTCTACTTACCATTTTTTCATTTTGTTATAAAGATTTTAAACATATAGTAAAGTTGAAAGACTTTTGCAACGAACACATATACATGCCATTTACATTCCATCATTAACTGTTTTTTTTTTTTTTTGCTTGTCCTGAGGCTTGAACTTTGGGTCTGGGCCCATTCCCTGAGCTTCTTTTACACTCTACCACAGCCCTACTTCTGGCTTTTTCTGAATAATTTATTGGAGATAAGAGTCTTATGAATTTTCCTGACTAGGCTGACTTTGAACCATGATCCTAAGGTCTCATCCTCCTGAGTAACTAGGATTACAGGCATGAGCCACTAGCACCCAGCTCTGTGTATATGTGTGTGTATGTGAGAGGTGGGGGGAGAGGGAGAGAGAGGGAGTGTGTGTATGTGTGTACTGAGGCTTGAACTCAGAGCCTGGGTGCTGTCCCTTAACTTTTTTACTCAAACCTTGGCTCTACTTTTGGCTTTTTGCTGGTTAATTGGAAATGAGTCTCATGAGCTTTCCTGCCTGGGCTCACTTGAATGGTGATCTTTGGATCTTAATCTCCTGAGTAGTTAGAATTATGGATATGAGCCACCAGTGCCTGCTTCCACCACTGACATTGTATTACATATCTATCTCTCCATTAAGGTATCTTACTTTTCAAGAGTCTTTCAGCACTCTCATGGAAAACTAAATTGTATTTAGAGAATATCATTTGTGTTTATGAGAGAGATGATGAACCAGTTTTGGCATCAGATATTGGTCTGTTACTGGCCTCATGATCTATATAAGAAAATGATAATTTCCTTGTTTTATTCTAGAATGTTAATATTACTTCAGCACGTATTATGGTCTGATGTAAATCCTCAGTTCTTCAGCATGTGAGGGTATCAATGCAGATGGTGTGTTCACTGCTGCCTTTATCATTGACTTTCATATCACTCACTCAGGCTTCAATCACTTGTGTGTTTGTTGTATAGGAGTCGCCCATCGGAGCCAGAGCAGTGAGGGAGTTAGTTCTCTCAGCAGCTCACCTTCCAACAGCCTTGAGACGCAATCTCAGTCCCTCTCACGTTCCCAGAGCATGGATATCGACGGTGTCTCTTGTGAGAAAAGGTAACCAGAAGGCCATTCTCTCATGTATTATTTTACTTATGGAAAAGGACAGTGCCACTTTCCTTAGTCTCCATTCCAGTAGTCTAAAATGCCAGCCCAGAGATTCCTGCCAGTCCCTACTGAATTAGAGCTAAATTTCTTAAATTGAAAGGTCTTTATATCACTCTGAAATGTTCTTTATGTATTTGTTGGTGCTAAATGTCTTTTCTGAAATAAGTTGTGTGTGGTTTAAAAAAAAAGACAACCTCAGGGCTAATGTGTGACATGCAAGGAAAAAGAGAAGTGATGTCAATAATGGATGTGTGAAAAGCCCCATATGTGAAACATTGATTAGGATATGCAAGGACAGTGGGGGAGAAGAGGCCAAGAATCAAGCAGATCTAAAACACAGGTAAGCCAGACAGGACATGGTTAGAGTGAGGGCTATCAGGTTCTTGTATTATTAGGGAGAATGGTAAAGATACTGACTAACTTTGAATTTAAACAAATGCTAAAATTTCAAGAGTAACCATTGAAAAGAATAATAATGCAATACAGCCTTGTCCCCCAACATCAAAATATATTCCAAGACCCGTGATGGACATCTAAAGCCACAGCAATACCAAACCCTTGTGTGTTGTTTTTATTTATTCTCTGCTACATTGCCACATAGTGTCAGAGTTCATCTTTGGTTCTAGGTTTTATATCTAGGTGCTTCCTTAGTGTCACTCTGTCTTGGGCTTTGTGACCACAGTTAAGTAAGAGTTACCTGAACAGAAGTACTTTGACCTTCCATCTGCTAACTAAGCTAAGTAATTAATGGGAAGGTAGCATATACCATGGGGATAAGCTGGAGGAAGGGTAATTTACATTCTAAGGAGAATGATGGCATGAGATTTTATCATACTGCTTAGATGGGATGTGATTTCAAACTTGAGCATTCTTTCTTTCTCTCTCTCTTTTTTTTTTTTTTAAATTTTTTTTGGTCCGGTCGTGGGGCCTGAACTCTGGGCCTGGGCACTGTCCCTCAGCTCTTCAGCTTAATGCTAGTGCTCTACCACTTGAGCCACAGCGCCACTTCCGGCTTTTTTTTCTGCTTATGTAGTGCTGAGGAATCGAACCCAGGGCCTCATGCATGCAAAGCGATCGCTCTACCACTGAGCCACCTTCCCAGCCCCTTGAGCATTCTTTCTTTCTGGAACTTTTTGTTTGTATCATAGTTGACTGAAACTAGGTAAAGTGAAACTGTGGATAAAATAGGACTATCGAGAATCTCCCACACAAGTAAAGGAAAAATACAGGTCAAGAACAGGGTGAGGGAGGAGGGCAGTAGTCAAATCAATTCCATGAAAGGAAAAAAATAAACACAAACTTTAAAAAGGGACAAATAGCACAAAATCACATGTCAGGGGCCAGAATTGTGGCTCAAGTGATAGAGTGCCTGCCTAGCAAATACAAGGCCCCAAATTCAACTCTAAATCTGCCCAAATGAAAATTTAGAAAGTCACTAATTATAATAAATCACAGTAAAAACATATGCTGGACTAAAAACAATACAGAACTCATTTATTTACATTTGTTTACACAAGGCACACCTGAAAAATAGAGAGATTGAAAGTAGAAGGTAGCAAATACTACTTTGGAAGACATTGGGACATAGATAATGACAGATGTTAAGGCACAAGGAATTACTAGAAATATGTATTCTATAATGATAATCATTTCATTTACCAGGAGGGTACAACAGTTTAAAATGCATATTTAGTAATATCAGCATGTGATAAAAGGCAAATATTGATACAACTACAAGAAGAAACTGACACATAATCATAATGGAGATTTTAAACATGTTGCTTTAGCCATTAATTGATGAAAAGACATCATTAAATTCACACACAGGTTGAACTACACAGCCAACAAGCTTGATCTGATTGAAGAATACAGAGCTTTGTGTCCCCTGCTTAGAGCATACACAGTCTTCACTAATACCACCCAAAAAGTTTTAGGATCCAGACCATCTGAAGCATAGGAATCATGTATTAGGTTAGGGATTTAATAAGAACTTTTAAAAAGTAAGCTAGGACCAGGTGCGGTTCATACCTGTAATCCTAGCTACACAAGAGGCTGCTATCTGAAGATCACAGTTCAAAGCCATCCCAGGCAGAAAAGTCCAAGAGACTTTTTATCTCTCTGAGACTCTTACCTCCAATAATCTATACCAAAAAAGCCTGAAAATAGAGCTGTGGCTCAAGTGGTAGAGCACTAGCCTTGAGCAAAAAAAGCTCTGGAACAGTATCCAAGTTCTGATTCCAAGATCTAGGATTAGTACAAAAATAAAAAGTAAAAACATATACTGAAAATTTTAAGTACCCCATCAAGGGAAAAGGTTACATAGAAGTTTGAACACATCTAGAATTGAAGCTGTCCATGGTGGCACATGACTGTAAACCCAATAGTCAGGAGACACAGGCAAGAGGATCTTGAGTTTAAGGCTATGCAGTGAGACCTTGTCTCAAAAAGCAAATAGAGATAGAGAATGTCTACAACTGAACAATAACTAATACTACATATCAAAATTTGTATACTATAGCTGATTCTTAGAATAATAATAGGAAGCTCTAAATATATTAAAAATAAGTAAAGGAAAAAGTAAATATTCAGGGGCGAGGAAGGTGGCTCAGTGGTAGAGCATGCAAGGCAAACATGAGGCCCTGGGTTTGATTCCTGAGCACCACATAAGCAGAAAAAGCCAGAAGTGGCGCTATGGCTCGAGTGGTAGAGCAGTAGCCTTGAGCTGAAGAGCTGAGGGACAGTGCCCAGGCCCAGAGTTCAGGCCCCATGACTGGCCAAAAAAAAAAAAAGTAAATATTCACACAGTAAAAACTCTTTTCTAGAACATTCACCCTAGGCAGATGCATACTACTAGCCTCCTGGCATTTGCTTATGGGTCATTTCTTGATGAGGCCATTTTTAAATGAATTTTTAATCATTTAAAAATAACATGTCTGAGATGAGCATGGTGGCCCATGCCTATAATACAAACTATGAAGGAGGCAGAGATGGGGATGATCATGATTTGAGGCCAGCCTCAGTGAAAAATTAGCAAGAACCCATGGCCACAAATAAGCTGGGCATGGTGGTTATGACTGTGGTTACAGCTGTATAGTCCATAGGTAGAGGATCGCTGTTTGTGCTGGTCCGGGGCAACAATGTAAGACCCTATCTAAATAATCATAATAACAGTAACTACAACAAGAACAACCAAAAGCAAAAAAGGCTAGTGGCATGAATCAGGTGGCAGACATCCCTGAGTTCAAACTCCAGCACTTGCACTCACCCCCAGAAAGCTCTGAGTTCAAACTCCAACACTCCTACTGACTCCTTCTGAGATAGTATGTCTAGTGATGGGTATATAGTTCATTGGTGCCACTGGCACTTTATGTTTAATCCCCAGTGCCACTGGGCACTGGTGGCTCATGCCTGTAATCCTAGCTGCTGAGATCTGAGGTTTGCAATTCAATACCAGCCCAGGGAGGAAAGTCTGCGACTCAACTTCAAGTTAACTACCAAAAAGCTGCAAGTGGCACTTGCAGTGCTAGAGCATCAGCCTCGAGTGAATAAAACTAAGGAATAGTTCTCAGGCCCTGAGTTCAAGCCCCAGTACTGCCTCCAAAAAAACAAAAACAAAAAACAAAAACCATCAATTTACTTAAAAAACACATAAATATCAATAAATATCAGTTACCAGATTATATATTGAAGAGAAGAATTCCTTTGTTGGGTGCTGGAGAAGATTAATAAAATTCCATATTGGTTCATGTTAAAAATCTTAGAAAATGAAGAACAGAAAGGAGTGTCCCTAAAGAGGCATTGGGGCTGGGGTTGTTGGCTCAGTATAGAGCCCATGCTTAGTGTGTATGAGACCTTTGTTTCAAATCCATTGACATTGACATACAATAGAGACAGTTCACCAAATATCCATAAGCTCCCTGACATTTCCTGTCTCCTTTGCTGTTAGATGGGGGCCAAGTAACATGCTCTATGCACTAGACTATGAGTAGGAGCAACATGTCACTTTTAGGTGAAGGCAGTTGAGCCCACGTTCCTCCTCCATCCCTTTCTTCTCTTGCTCCAGTGACCTTGGAGGCTGCGTATTGCAGATGGCATAGATTAAAGATGGAGTAAGGATGCTTCACTCTCATCAGACTTTGCGTAAGCAAGAAATAACCCTTATAGTGTTAAGCCTCTAAGATTCCAGAGTATGTGTGTAACTACAGAATAGACTATCTTGTTCTAATTTAAAGGACACCTACCAACAAAACCACAGAGACCACATTTCACTTTCAATGGTTAGAGTCACTCTTTGAAATCATGAATGAGCTCAAGGGTGACTGCTGTTTCTGTTTCTGTTCTACCTGTGGGTCTTACTTAGTGCAATAAAACAAGAAAGGACTGGAGTGGAAGGAGCAAGTTAACTATTTGGAGACAAGTCTATCTCCCAAATAAACTCTGTGTATCCTTAAATATAACTTACCTTAGCCAGTGACATTATTATATGCTAACAAAAAGGAAGAAAAAAATTTTTAATTTAAAAAGGTATCATTCACAGTTCATTAAAAACCATATAGTACTTAGGAATAAACTTACTAAGAAGAGTGTAAGACTTTATGGAAAAATTACAAAGTTGATTGAAAGCCCTTGAAGAAGGTCTGCATACCTATATGGAAAGAAAGACACAAGAATGCAATGATATCATTCATACTCAGTGAAATTCACACAATGGTCAGAATCCCAAGGGAATGGTTAATCAGCTAGTCAGAATGATTGCCAGTGGGTATAGTAGAGGAAAGGTCAGGAATAGCCAAGGAAGTAAAAGAACAGGGAGGAGGCATTGGCTTGACATATAAGGTATTAGTTGGTAAGTAAGTGATCTTAGCTAGTGCACTGGCTGTCTGATGGAGGAGGAATGAGTATCCAGAAATAATCCCACGTATTTGTGATAGTGGGCACATGACAGGAGATTTCATATCAATGTGGAAATGATGGTTTTTTTCAATAAGTAGTACTGGACAGTAATGTGGGAGAAAAAAAATATGTACTTAATTTTTGTAATCAAGCTCTGGGCACACAGTATATATCATTTAAAAATAATATATTTAGCCGGGTGCTGGTGGCTCATATCTGTAATCCTAGCTACTCAGGAGGCTGAGATCTGAGGATCTCGGTTCAAAGCCAGCCCGGGCAGGAAAGTCTGTGAGACTCTTATCTCCAATAAACCACTAGAAAACCAGAAGTGGTACTATGACTCAAGTGGAAGAGTGCTTGCCTTGAGCTTAAGAGTGCAGGGACAGCGCCCAGGCCCAGAGTTCAAGCCCCATGACCACCCTCCCCCCCCCCCCCCAAAAAAAATATATATCTAGAGAATCTTCTGTACTGAATTTTGTGGGGTTTTTTGTTTGTTTTTGAAAGTGAGCACAACGAAATGACACCTTGAGAGTAATGTTTCCAACATATATGAGAGACAGGATGTTTATATCTTAATATATGTTGATCCCTTTAAAATTAAAAAAAAAATAAGATAAATCATTGTTTTGCTTTTCTGACTGATTTTGACTATTTTAGAACTTTTCTCCAGCCAGCAGTTGTAACAGTGAGAATTTTATAAAAGGTGAAAGACTTAATTATCTTTTATACTTAAAGCATGTCCCAGGTGGATGTGGATTCAGGAATTGAAAATATGGAGGTTGATGAAAACGACCGAAGAGAAAAAAGGAGCCTCAGCGACAAGGTTGGTAAGAGATGTGACTTTGCTTCATTCAGTCTTCAGGTAGCACTGACACATCATCCTTCTTATTGTAGGGCCTGTGCCAGCGGCCACCCACCAGCAGCTCTTACTTGGCTTTATTGCTTATGTCTGTTACTCTACCACTAGAACTACTCCTCCACTTCCAGCTTTTTGCTGGTTGATTGGAGATAAGGTATCTTGGATTTGTGTGTCAGGGCTGGCTTGGAACTTTGATCCTCCAAGCAGCTAGGATTACAGGCATGAGCCACCAGTACTTGTCAATCAGTGTCTTTGTAGTTGGGTTTTTTCTTCTGAAGAAAAGTAAGTAGCCTTGATTCTCCCTCCCTCCCTCCCTCCCTTCCTCCCTTCCTTCTTTCCTTTCTTCCTTCTTTCCTTCTTTCCTCTTCCTCTTCCTCTCTGGGTCTTTCACTCAAACAGGTAGATGACAGTTTTCTGAGGAAAGCAAGAATATGTAAAATTCAGTAGCAAGCAAAAAGTTTTTGAATCTATGAGGCCTTTATGTTGTGCTGTCATCTGAGCATAATTTCCTGTCTTTAGGGTTTCTTTTGTGTTTGCTTTTGGTCTTTTGGTGTTATGGCATGAACAATCACCACTTTTTGCTTACTGAATTTTTAGGACTAGTTTAGCAGCACGTGATGATTATTAGAACCTCCTGGTGGTGGCTGTAGTGCTCAAATTTCTATCATTCTGTAGTATTTACAAAGTTCTTTTTTATATGTGATATTTTATCTATGATAGAATATAATGAGAAATACTTCATTTTAGAAATAGTCTTTTTTTTTTTTTTGGTGTTAGTGCTTGGGCTTGAACTCAGGGCCCTGTGCTCTTATTTAGCTTTTTCACTCAAAACTTGTGCTCTGCCACTTAAGCCACAGCTCTGCTTCCAGTTTTTTGCTCCTTAATTGGAGATGTTTCTCAGATTTGTCTGCCTCAGCTGGTCTCAAACCACAATCCTCCTGAGAAGCTAGGATTACAGATGTGAACCACAGGCCCAGCTGGAAATACTCTTGAAGGGAAGTTGATTATGTACCTAGAATGTTAACCTGGTCCTTTGGACTTCAGAAAAATAGACAAGATATGTACATCATGTATCTTATTTTTTTTCTAGGTGATTTCTAATAATGACCTTGTTCTTTTATGCTCCCATCTGAATTGTATCATAAACTCATGAGACATAGATATTACAGATTGGAAGTCATGGTAACAAGTTTAGTTTTTCTTTTAATTAGTAGGTGAGTGGTTTTATGCTTTTTTTCCTGACATACTGAGGTTTGAAATCAGAGCCTCATGCTTGCTCTATCATTCTATCCTTTTTTCTGTTTTGGAGATGGAGTGAACTTTTCTTTCCTGGGCTGATCTCAAACCATGATCCTCCTAAGTAGTAGGTAAGATTATAGGTATGAGCTGCCAGGACCTGGTGGTCTTGTATTTTTGTAGTATCTTCACTCGTAAATGAATAGAATCTGAATAAAATATTCCTAGTGAACTAACATATGCCTCTTACTGGAGATTAACCACCAGATCTTCTTTCCTCCAAGGAGCTTTCTTCAGGCCCTGAAGTATCCGAAGAGCAGGCCTTACAGCTGGTCTGTAAGATCTTTCGTGTCTCTTGGAAGGACCGGGACAGAGATGTCATCTTTCTTTCTTCTCTTTCTGCTCAGTTTAAGCAGAACCCAAAGGAAGGTAAGTCTCTAGCTCAGCCATCTTTTTCAAGCACCTGCAGGGAAACAGTGTGAGAGCTTTGGCCTTTTCTGTGGTCCACATGTATCACTATTGCAGCGGCAGCTGGGTCACCAGATCAATCTCATGCTGAACATTAGCTCCAATTCAGGAACTAGCATCATGTTCTGCAGCTTGAGGTCCCTTCAGTGCCATCTTGTTTCCTGTCTTACTCTTTCTCTCCATCCCTTCCTCCCTCCCTGCTTGCCTGCCTACCTTATTCCCTCACTCTCTCCTTTCTTCTTTGCTTCCTGTGGTATTGGAGTTTGAACTCAGCACTTTATGCTTGCTGAGAAGATTCTCTGCTGCTAAGCCATGTCTCCAGCTGTGTTTTGTACTGGTTATTTGTGGCCTGCCCAAGCACACACCTAGACCAAAATTTGCCAATTTTATGCTTCCCATAGTTTCTGGAATGACAAGCATGTACTACAGCTTTCGACTCTACTCTGTGGCGGTAGAGACTTTCAACTTTTCTGCTTAGGTTGGCCTGAGCAAAAATGATTCATCTCATTCCTAACCCCTAAAGTAGCTAGGAGTGCAGGCTTTAGCCACAGGCACCTAGTTGAGTGTTGGGACTTTTGATTGCAGGTATGCTCTTTAGTGAGGACACTGCTGTTTGATAATTTCTCTCTTTCCAGTGATTTTATTGTTAAACAACCTTTTTACTTTCATGATTTCTGTATATGAAAGAAAATTATATGGTTAAGTTAATGGTCTCCACTGTGTATCAGGAGAGCCATGCCTAACCTGTTCATTATTCTGCCTTTCCCACAGTGTTCTCTGACTTTAAGGATTTGATTGGCCAGATTTTAATGGAAGTGCTAATGATGTCCACTCAGACTCGAGATGAAAATCCATTTGCCAGTCTGACAGCCACGTCACAGCCCATTGCAGCTGCAGCGCGGTCACCAGATAGAAATCTCATGTTGAACACTGGCTCCAATTCGGGAACAAGCCCCATGTTCTGCAACTTGGGATCCTTCAGTGCCAGCTCATTATCTAGGTCAGTGTGGTTGTTTTTGCACAGGCATTGACACTTACGAGCCATGAAGGAGTAGGAGGAAGTACTCACTCAGTGTTGGCCTGTGCCCTCGACACTTTGAAGTGGGTCGTATTTGGGGGGATAGATGTTGTTGTTGGAGGTGGCATTATCTTTTCTAGATTTCTTTTGGCTTTTCATGTTTAGTCTATGGTAGATTAAGACTTAGAAGCCAATAGTTGTGTTAATATATTAGTCTTAGAAAAAGGGACATTAACTCCTCTGGATTGTTGCGACAATTAGATTATGATTATTTAAACATGTATCTCATCATATACTCGAACTCTTACTAGAGATATGAAATGTATTTATGCTGTCCTTTAAAAACCTAAAGATTTCTATTTTAGTTATCTCAAGTTTTTCTTTGATTTTTCTCTTCTTTCCTCCCTTCCTCCATTAATTTAGCCTCTATGAAACTAGCCCAGCTCCCACTTCCAGTTTCTGGAGCTCTGTGCCAGTGCTGAGTCCATCTTTTGCCTCACCTCCCCGTGCAGCCAGCCACATGGCTGTGTCTTCCACCTCCCTCAGTCCTCATAGTGTGGCTTCTGGACCTGCTGCGGGAAGCCAGCCCTCGTCCCCGCGCTATCGGCCCTATACTGTCACACATCCAGGGGGGTCTTCTCCCTGCCCTGTCCCACGGTCCTCAGGCACTTCCACTCTATCTGGAGCCCCAAATCTCCCTGCCTTTGCAAGTAGCCCCCAAGCTGTGCCTGCCAGCAATTCCAGACAGAGGCCCAGCAGCGTGGGCCCAGCTCTCTCACCTGCCTCACCCCGTGCTGCAAGCAGACGGCCCTCCTCCCTGCGGATCTCTCCTAGGTATTTATTCACAGGAGAGCTGCGTGTGTGTTTGCAGTGCAAGGAAAGCAGATTAACATGGTTTGGAAGAGCTGCTGTGTGACACTGACCTCAGTTTAATTTGGGGGTTGTTTTGGGGAAGTCATCTTGTGTCGCTAGCAAGTGTGGTAGGCATGCACCCTGCATCCTGGCTTTGCCAGGTTGTGATCACATCAGAAAGTAAAGGTGGTGCTATGGTATGCTTCTTTTTCACCTCCTTTCCCTGGTTCATTTTCCTTCCTGCGCACACACACACACACACACACACTGAAAAGTGCATTTTTTAAAAATTGCAATCTAGCTCACATATCATTCCTAATTGCAAATGAATTTCAGAGACTGTGGTCAGTGTTGTATTTGAGGGTTGAGGCTCACAGGATCACTTTTTAACTGTTGTTAAGGATAGTCAGACCTAGGGGCTGAGGACAGATCTGTGCCTTAACCACTCCTCTTCTTAGGGCCCCTGGGCCTGTTCATATTTAAATGCTTTGATTTTTGGTTATGTATAATTTTGGCCTCTCAGAAAGCAGCAGTATCAGAATTCTGAAAATCCTGTGGTCCCTTCCCTCAAATGTATCTGTGTATTTCTAATGGAGGTGAATTATTTTTTCTGCATGTCCATGGATAAAACTTTTAGTGTAACCTTTACTTAAAAGATAGAAAATGCACAAAGTTCTCCCCCTCTTGTTTTCTTTTGTTCCCTGATGACCTCTTTTGCTTTTGTTGTGGTAGTATATACGACAATCCTTTCTCCTTCCTCTTCCTCGCACTTTCTGGGGACAGTAGTGATGAAGAAGATGAAGAAGAAGATGATGGTGATGATGATGAAGGTGGTGGTGGTGGTGATGATGATTTTTCTTGTGTCCAGTTTGGGTCCAGGTATCAGAGGAATGGAGTCTTACCCTGCATGTGCTTAGGTGTTTAGGAACTAACTTTGTAAGCCCTGCTTAGGGCTGTGCTTTGAATCCAAACTGGATAGGGTTAGGTGAGGTGGCCCGGCAGGTGTATTGAAGTGTGAGGACTTCACCGTGGTATGAAATGGCACAGAAGACAGTTTTCTTAGTTCTTGCCATTCATTGTGCGATTCATTCCATCCCTCAAAGATGAGGAACATTCCAGTTACCCGTTACAAGGATCTTCTTCAGTAGGGTTGCACGAATTGCTGGCATTTAGGAAGGACCTGGGGTATATATGTGTTTCCTTTCCCCCCATCCTGTCAAGCCTGGTCTTGACAGCCCGTTGAAGAATCCAAAGGGGTCATATTGTTTAGTATATCTGAGCTTCACTTTCCTCTTAACCTTTCATTTCCCTGAGTATCTCTTTGTCCTCAGTGAAGCCAGACCCCATTTGTTTAAAGAGCCTGTGCAATGACAGCAGAAGCTAAAACTGGGTTCACTGAATAGTTGCTGCTGAAAACTAAAAAAAAATTCCCTGAGGTTTCTAGGTGACTTTGAGCAAGAAAATATAGGAGTTGTTTCTTTCTAATTAATCCTCTGACTCGTTGTCTTACCAGTTTGATCTTAAAGTGGAGTTTCCTCTGGACAAAGTTGGGATTTGTGCCGTGCACTGTTCAAAAATAACTCTGGACTTTAAATAAAACCCTCTGTAGGAGTTAGGTACACTTCATTAATTGAACAGTGTTCAAGAAACTCATTAAAGAACACATAGAGAGAAGAATGTTGATACAAGGTTAAATATCGATTCTGAAAGGTTGATACTTGCATTAGGTTGGACTTTATACCACTATTTCTCAAGTAACTTTCCCAAAGGAAGAAGTGTCTTTTTCCATGCTTGTCTAGTTGCAAGATCACAGTCACAGAGCAGCTATGTCCTTAGGAATCACTTCTCATACTTGGGTAAAGGGGCTTCGTTATCTGCTTTGTTCTAAGTTATCTTAGAGATGCTCCTCTGGCCTATTTATTCTGTCATAGGCTGCTTTTACTGATGACTCTCTTTCTAGGTTTCTAACATCCCAACCTTGCCTGAGATCTTCTATACCTAGTAGCAGAAATACTTCCTGGGGTCATAGTAATAACTGTTAACACTGAGTGTGAAGTGCCACATCCTGTGTTGGTGATCTGGCCTATCTCTTGTTCTTCAGTCCTTTCTGTAGCAGTGGATGAGGAAACCAAGTACAAGTGCACTTGGTGAGGTGCAGAGAGGTTAAAATCACATATGTGTTAATGGCAGAGCCTAGATTCAGATTCAAACAACTGGAACCCAGAGCTCATGTACCTGGCCTTTCCATCTGTGCCCAACAGTGCCTATGTTGTTCTTCTCTAATATTTATTTCACCTTTAAGAGTCTATGTGTTCCTTGAATTACTTCCTAATTACAAAGTATAATTAAATCTCATGCCAGTTTGTTGAGAAGTCCCTTATTGGTGGTTACAATGCAGTGGCATGATCCAGATTGTAAATTAAATAACCTAACTATAGATAACTAATACATATTAAAAAGAAGGTTAAAGCCAGGCACGGGTGGTTCACATCTGTAATCCTAGCTACTCAGGAGGCAGAGGTCTGAGGATCACAGTTCAAAGCCAGCCCACGCAGGAAAGTCCGTGAGACTCCTTTTTTTTTTTTTTTTTTTTTGGGGGGGGGGGGGGTGGTCCGGTCATGGGACCTGAACTCTGGGCCTGGGCGCTGTCCTTCAGCTCTTCAGCTCAAGGCTAGTGCTCTACCACTTGAGTCACAGTGCCACTTCCGGCTTTTTTTTTCTTTTTGCTTATGTGGTGCTGAGGAATCGAACCCAGGGCCTCAGGCATGCAAGGCAAGCGCTCTACCACTGAGCCACCTTTCCAGCCCCTGTGAGTCTCCTGTCTCCAATAAGCCACTCAGAAAACCAGAAGTGGCGCTGTGGCTCAAATGGTAGAGTACCAGCCTTGAGCTGAAGAGCTGAGAGACAGAAGTGACGCTGTGGCTCAAATGGTAGCGTGCTAGCCTTGAGCTGAAGAGCTGAGGGACAGCAACCAGGTCCAGAGTTCAAGCCCCACAACTGACCCAAAAAAAAAAAATTTAAAAAGAATGTAAAAAGATAAGTAAATAAACATAGCTTGAGGCAAGTAGGTATTAAGAGTATATGTCAAGGCAAACCAGAAATAAATTGGAAAACCTCATAAATTTGAGGGGTCAGCAAAGAGAAAATTTTTTCTTCCTCTTTCTAATAGATCTTTGCAGAATTTCATTTATTTTGAAGTAAGCTGTTTTAATTACATGCTTCTTAGTCAGTGAGACTGTTTTCACGAGAATCAGGAAGATGGTCTTCATTTTCTTTCTGTTTGCCCAGTAGAGTTGATGCGTTTAAGTCCTTTGGGAAGGAGTTATAACATACAGTCATGTGTTAATTCCTCACTGTGGTATTGCTGAAGGTTGGTTAGTTTAAGAAAGGTGAGGCATTCTTCTGTATTGTTTTCAGGTCTTCTGTGGAAAGAACCGTATGAGGAGTCACGAGGAACTAGCTGCTCCTGTTCTTGCAGGAGAGAAAACAGTAAAGGGAAAATTGTCTTGTGAGTCAGATAACTGTAGGAATTATCCTGAGGAGTTTTCTGATTGTTTCCTAGGAAGTTGGTGACAGGAAGACATTGGGGGGTGTTTTGTTTTATTTGTTTGCTTTCTTTGTTGTTTTTAGTGAAGAAAGTCAAACCTTGAATGTCCTGAGCTTATATAAGGACAAAGGAGAAAATAGCTAGCAATGGGAAAGGTTGACATCCATGCTGCTGTTCCTGCTGGTCACCACTGCTAGAGGATACGTGGAAAGAGTGGGAAGTCCTTCTACTCACCCCTCTCATACAACCTAGGCCTCTAGTGTTTGTTCTGCTCTTTGCACTTAGTACACTCTCCTGTCTTCAACCTTTGGACTTATTTCTTCTCTGAGCCTCTCTTGCCCAGATAGCTGTGAGGCTGTTTCCCCAACTTCTCTCAGTTCTCTGTGTGAATGCTCTCTTGTCAGAGGCTGGCCCCTGACCCTCTGGTGTTAACCATTAAATTACACATGAAGCTGGGTGGCTCACGAGACCTGTAATCCTAGCAACTCAAGAGGCTGAGATCTAAGGATCGTGGTACAAAGCCTGCCTGGGCAAGAAAGTCTGTGAAGACTCTTTTCTACAGTTAACCACCAGAAAACTGGAATTGGAGCTTTGGCTCAAAGTAGTAGAACCTTGAGCTCAGGAACAGAGCCCAGGTCCTGAGTTCAAGCCCCATGACCAACAACATAAAAAGAAACAAACTTGGGCTGGGAAGGTGGCTCAGTGGTAGAGCGCTTGTCTTGTATGCATGAGGCCCTGGGTTTGATTCCTCAGCACCACATAAGCAAGAAGAAAAAAGCCGGAAGTGGCGCTGTGGCTCAAGTGGTAGAGTGCTAGCCTTGAGCTGAAGAACTGAGGACAGTTCCCAGGCCCAGAGTTCAGGCCCCACGACCAACAAAAAAAAAAAAAAAGAAAGAAACAAACAAACAAACTTGATCTCACTCGATCACCTGCTCTGCTTTCGTCATCCTTCCTACTAGTGTGTTTTGGGTGGTCACTGTCTTTAGAATGTAAGTGTCATCTCCCCTGAGTGATTCCGTATACACCCTAGGATCTACAGCAAGCCTGGACCATGCGAGGACCACTGTCCACTTGTTCAGTAATTTGTGCTTGTGAACGTGCACAGCTGTGTGCTGTGATTGAGAAAGCATAAATTCCAATGCCAGTATTTAAAAAATTGATAAATAGACTCATTATGGAAGAAATGCCAATGGAGTTTTTTTTAAAAAAAGAAGTTTCCTTGTTATATATTAAATGTAGTTCAAGCCGCACAGATCTGATATATATAAAACCCCCAGGAATATTTTCAGAAGAAGTCAGCCACATTTTTATTTTGTGAAGTAATTACATGATTAAATTGGACTGCTGATGTAGTTACCAGAAAGTGGTTTGCATACTCTCCCAGAAAGAGGGATAATTTTGTTTTATAACTTTTTGATGAGTAAAAATGAAATAC